CAAAATCAAAGTGTTGGTAGGGCCATGGTCTCTCTGAAGGCTCTAGGTGAGGATCCTTTCTTGCTTCTCTCCTTGCTTGTGCTGGTTGCTATCCTAATCCTTAGTGCTCCTTGGCTTGCAGCTTCCTCATTCCAATCTCTGCCTCCCTCTTCACATGGCCCTCTCCCCTATGTCTATGTCCAAAATTTCCCTTTCTCTCTCTCTTTTTTTTTTTTTTTTGGTATATTGCCTTTCCCTTCACCCAAACCAATACTTGTCTCTTAACCTGTCTAGCAGTTTTCCCTCCCATCCCCTCCCATTTCTGTTAACCAAAAAAGAAAGCTTTCTTCCATATATAAACCTTTCCTTGACTTTTTACAATAGTGGACAAATATAATATTTGTCCTTCTGTGATTAACTTATTTCAATCAGCATAATGTCCTCCAAGTTCATCCTTTAGTGTTGCATAGTATCCCATTGTGTGCATGTACCATAGTTTGGTTAGCCCTTGCTCTGTTGACAGGCACATAGGTTGTTTCCATATCTTTGCTTTGTGAATAGTGTTGTGATGAACATGGGTGTGCATATATCTATTCATGTACTGGCTCTCACTTCTTTAGGACATATACCTAGTAATGGGATTGCTGGATCAAATGGTATTCCTATTTCTAACTTTTAAAAGAATTGTCATAACTGGTTTGCACAGTGGTTGTACCATTCTACGCAGTATAGGAAAGTCCCAACCTCTCCACATGCTTGCCAGCATTTGTTATTTTCTGTCTTGAACTTTGGTATTAGTGCTGGTGTGAGATGGTATCTCACTGTTGTTTTAATTTGTATCTCTCTAATATTAATGATTGTGAACATTTCTTCATGTGTTTGTTGGCTGCCTGAACATCTTCTTTGGTGAAGTGTCTGTTCATATTTTCTTCCCATTTTTAAATTGCATTGTTAGTCTTTGAAGTTGAGATGTTGAGGTTTTCTATAAATTTTAGCAATAAATCCCTTGTCGGATATGTCATTGCTGAATATTTTTCCCCAATGAATGGGTTCTCTTTTTACTCATTTGGAGAAGTCTTTTGATGCATATAATAATTTAAATTTTAGAAGGTCCTAATCATCTAGTTTATCTTCTGCTGTTTGTGCATTTTTTATGTTTGGCAGTCTATTAATGCCATATATTAAGACACAAATATTTAGTTAATACTAAAATGACAGCAATGAAGGAAATGATAACACAATTCATAAACAAAATGAACTCAGCACAGAAAATTATATGGAACAAAGAAATCAGCAACACCACAAAAAAGCACAAAAAACAATGACAGCAATAAATTCATATTTGTCGATAATTACACTGAATGTAAATAGGTGAAATGCACCACTGAAGAGACAGAGAGTTGCAAACTGGATAAGAAAACATGACCCATGAATACACTATCTACAAGAGACTAACCTTAAAGACAAAGACAAAAATAGGCTAAAAATCAAAGGTTGGAAAAAGATACATCAAGCAAATGACAATCAAAAAAGAACAGGAGTGGCAATATTAATTTCTGAAAAAATTGGCTTTAAGACAAAAACCTTCATAAGAGACAAGGAAGGACATTATAAAATGATTAAAGGGTCAATTGAACAAGTGGACATACCATAATAAATATCTACACACCCAATGAAAGAGCCCCAAAATACATAAATCATACTTTAGCAGTACTGAAAAGACAAATAGATGACTCCACAGTAATAGTAGGAGACTTTAATACACCACTTTTTTTAAAAAAATTGTGATTTGGGTGAAGATTTACAGAGCAAATTCACTTTCCATACAGCAGTTCACATATACTTTGTCTCATGTCGTTGACCACAGTTTACCACAATGCAACAGCTCCCCTCCCACTTCCTCCCCATAGTTACCTCTTCCCAGTGACCATCCCTCCATACTCTCTTGCCCCCTGAGCTGTCTCCCTGTGCATAAGCAGCCCTTCCTTCTCCCATGATTGTTCTCTCCAGGGCATGTGTCTACTTGAGGTAAATGTTTAACTCACATGCCTGTAATACACCACTTTCGATGAAAGATAGAACAACTGGAAAGAAACTCAACAAAGATAAAGAAGAAGAACTAAACAATCAACCAACTTGAAAAATTAAACAAGATCCCTACCTTACACCACTGCCAAAGGGGCAGGGAGGCCACATCTTCTGACCTCCTGTAACCCCACAAGAGGAAGACAGAATCACCATGAGTAGCCCAAGGCCTATTCCTGTGAGTCCAGACATGTTGCCTCCCTCCAGCCCTTTCACCAACCCTGACACCAACTGTTCCTCCCGCAGCACCCACCAACTCTCTGCTGGGTTTGATAATTCACTGCAGTGGCCACACAGAACTCACTGATTATGGGGTTTATTAGGGAGACACCAGACTACAATTCAAGTTCAGAAATGCACTCAAGTGTCTTGCAGTCTCTGGCTGTCTTACTCAGTAGCTGGCAGTCTGTTCTCTCAGTAGTATATGTCTCTCGTGTCTCTTTCTCAGCAGTGTGTGTCTCTTGTGTCTCTCTCTCAGCAGCATGTGTCTCTTATGTCTCTCAGGAGAACATTTCTCTTAGCAGCACATCTTTCTCAGCCAGCAGAGAGACTCCTTCTGCCTCTAGGAGGGCTCCTTTTGAGGTTGGTAGAGTGGTCAAACTAACCAATCCCAACATCCAAATTCTATACACCTGAGAGAGACAGCCAACTTCCCAGAAAATTATTTCATGCTGCTCCCAACAGAAATAGCCCAGGTGGATAATTTTAACAATCAGGAGCTACTCAGTTGCTCATGGCAAATTCCACCACAGAGTTTACAAAGACTTATGGTTAGAGAGGTCACACTATGTGATTTACTACACAGCAACCACACACAAAAACTAACTCCACATGGATCAAAGACTTAAATGTGAAACTAAAACTATAAAATTCATCAAAGAAAAAAATTGGGGCAAATTTAGGGGCCCTAATTTATGGCATAAATAGACTATCAAGCATAACCCAAAATGCACAAACAGTAGAAGATCAGCTAGATGACTGAGATCTTATAAAAATTAAATTATTATGAGCAGTTAAAAGACTTCTCCAAAAGAGTGAAAAGAGAATCTACAGATTGGGAAAAAATATTCAGCAATGACATATCTGACAAGGGACTTATCTCTAAAATTTATAGAACTTTCCAACACCTCAATAACAAAAAGACAAACAATCCAATTAAAAAATGAGCAGAAGACATGAACAGACACTACTATTCCTCTACTGCTCTGCTAAATATGTGGCTACACATGGACAAAGCAGACAATGTTCTTGCTTTCATAGAGCTTATAGTTGAATGGGATATGATATTAATGTTAATACAGTGGCTTAACAAAAGAAGACATACAGAGTATAATAAGGGGATTTAACCTAGTATAGATGAAAGAAGGCAACTTTACTGAGGAAGTGACCATTAAACCTTAAAAAGTACATAAATTATCCAGTGAATGAGAGGGGAGAAGAATGGAATAACTTATGCAAAAGATCTGAGTTGAGAAGAGAACGTGATACATTAAAGAAAACAGAAAATATTCACTATCAAAGAAATGTAAAATGGACAGGTTAAAGTGGCAGGAGATCATTTTAGAGAAATATTCTGAGTAATGATAGATCATGAGAATCTTATAAGTCATGCAAAGTGACGGAAGGTATTTTTTGCAGGGGAGTGTCGTAATTTCCATTTTTAAAAAGATAAGACCCTCAATGAGATGGATTAACACAGTAGCTGCAACAACAGGCTTGAACATAATGATTTATGAGGAAAGCTCAGGACTGGACATTCTTTTGTATATAGGGTTGCTATGACATAGAACTAGGAGCTCTGGTGGCCTAGTGCCTAAAGCATTTGACTGCTAACCAGAAGGCTGACAGTTCAAACCCACTAACCACTCTTTGGAAGGAAGATTGGGCAATCTACTTTGGTAGAGATACCACCTTGGAAACCCAAGGAGGGGTTGCTATGAGTCGCATCTGACTCAACAGCAGTGAGTAGGAGTCAGAACCAATTCAATGGCACCTTACAGTACATCCTGGCTGAAGAGAATGAATTGGAACTTGACAAGAGTGGGTCACGAAAACCATTTGAGTCTGTAACATTATTCTAGGTAGTAGTTGCTGATAGTTTAGATGAGTCTGTGGTGGTGGGGAGGAGACAGATTAAGGCGCTTTTAAGGAGGTAGAATTTCTTGACTGATGGTTAGATATGTTGTTGTTGTTGTTAAGTGCTGTTGAGTCATTTCTGACTCATAGCGACCCCATTCACAGCAGAACGAAACACTGCCTGATCCCGCGCCAGCCCCACAATCCCTGCTATACTTGAGCCCATCATTGCAGCCACCGTGTCAATCCATCTCGTTGAAGGCCTCCCCCTCTTTCGTTGACCCTCCACCCTACCAAGCATGACATCCTTCTC